CTTTACATGGACATATGAGGAAATGCCAGGACTTTCCAGAGAGCTGGTAGAGCATAAGTTGCCAATTAAGGAATGTTTCAAGCCTTTCAAGCAGCCTCCAAGAAGGATGTCCCAATAAGTTATTCTAAAGGTCAAAGAAGAGATAGAAAGGCTATATAAGGCTGGTTTTATAAGAATCGCCAGGTATGTTGACTGATTTCCAATATAGTTCCAGTTATTCAGAAAAATGGCAAGCTAAGGGTATGTGTGGATTTTCGGAATATCAATCTTGCAACTCCAAAAGATGAATACCGCATGCCTGTTGTTGACCAATTAGTAGATTATGCTGCCAAGAATGAATTTCTTTCATTCATGGATGGGCATTCCGGATACAACCAGATTTATATTACGGAAGAAGACATCGCCAAGACGGCTTTCAGATGTCCAGGATCCATTGGAACCTTTGAATGGGTTGTCATGCCATTTGGATTGAAGAATGCTGGAGCAACATATCAAAAGGCCATGAATGCCATTTTCCATGACATGATTGGCCATTTCTTGGAAGTTTATATTGATGATGTAGTCATCAAATCCTCGACCAAGGCTCAACATCTCCATAACTTAAAGATGGCTTTTGAAAGAATGAGGCAGCACAAGTTAAAGATAAATCCTTTGAAGTGTGCCTTTGGGGTTTCAGCTGGAAACTTCTTGGGTTTGCTTGTCCATCAAAGAGGTATTGAAGTAGACCAAAATAAAGCAAAGACAATTATTGAAGCAAAGCCACCGGTTACTAAGAAAGAACTACAAAGGTTTCTTGGCCAGGTTGGATATTTGAGGAGATTCATTGCCAACCATGTTGGAAAGACTCATGTTTTCACCCCATTTTTGAAATTGAAAGGTGCTGAGGAGTTTAAGTGGATGGAACAGGACCAGCAAGCCTTTGAAGGTTTGAAAAGCTATTTGGCCAACCCTTCAGTGATGATGCCTCTAATTAAGAAACGGCCTCTATGATTATACTTATCGGCCGTTGACAAATCCATTGGAACTCTTCTAGCCCAAAAAAATGAATGGGGAAAGGAGCAAGCCTTCTATTATCTAAGTAGGGTGCTCACTCCAGTGGAATGTAGGTACACTTCCATTGAAAAGTTGTGCCTTTCCTTATATTATGCGACTATGAAGTTAAGAACCTATATATTGCCGGTGGCCGTATATATCATTTCTTAAACAGAGTTGATTAAGTATATGCTTTCAAGGCCTTTGGTCACTGGACGTATTGGAAAGTGGTCATTGGACTTAATGGAGTTTTCCTTCAAGTATATTCCACAAAAGGCAGTCAAAGGAAGGGCAGTGGCAGAATTTCTAGTGGACCATCCTTCCACCGAGATTGATTCAGAAATATATGACGAGGTGGATAATCTTTACCTTGATTATACACCTTGGACTCTCATGTTTGATGGATCAAACATTCATGATGGAGGAGGAGCTGGAATAGTCATCATTTCACCAAAGGGGAGAAAAACCACATTTTCTTTCTTCTTGGATTTCAAGTGTACACAAATAACCAAGCTGATTATGAGGCGCTAATTATTGGGCTAGAAATCCTACTGGAGCTAAAAGTGGAGAAGGTCCAGATTATTAAAGATTCAAATTTGATACTCAGCCAACTTTCTGAAGAATATAGGTGTCTTAATTGGCATTTGAGGCCTTTCCATTCTTGGCCTTGGAATTACTTTGCCAGTTTGATGACTTCCAACTCAAATATTGGCCAAGACATTTGAATACGGAGGCTGATGATTTAGCACAGTTAGCTTTCAGAGTGACAGTCCCATCGGGTGTAGAAGAAACTTTGATCACAATCAAAAGAAAGACTCTCCTTTCTATAGAGTCATGGTATGAGATGGCAGGTCGTTTCTAAGCTGATGAGCCAGAAAGGATCAAGCCTGCCAAAAAAACATGGGAGATTTTCAATGTTGATATAGATGGCTTAGACTTGGAAGATTGGAAAACACCAATCATCCATTTCTTGCAGGATCCTAGTACCAACGTGGACAAAAGAATTCAGCTTTTGGCACCTTATTAAATCTTGATCGATGGAGATTTATACAGAAAAAGTAAAGAAGATGGGCTTTTGCTAAGATATCTTGGCAAGAGTGAGTCCATGAGAGTGATGGCAGAATCACACCTTGGAATATGCAGAGCACATCAAGCTGGGATCAAAATGAGGTGGCTTTTAAGAAGGTATGGTTACTATTAGAAGGGTATACTAAAGGATTGCATAGAGTTTGCAAAGACTTATACTGCATGTCAGGAACATGGCCCGGTCCAAAGATTTCCAGCTATTAACATGCAGCCAGTAGTAAAAATATGGCCATTCAGAGGATGAGCTTTGGACTTTATTGGAAAGTTAACACCACCATCTGCAGATGGACATACTCATATTTTGGTAGCAACGGACTTTTTTACAAAATGGGTGGAGGCTATTCCATTAAAGACCTGTGAGCAACCAACAGTAATTGATTTTATCAGGAAGCACATTATTCATAGGTTTGGAATTCCAGAGACTATCACCACTGATAGAGGACTTTCCTTTGTTGGAAATAAAGTTCTTGATTATTGTGCTGAGTGTGCCGTCCAAGTGATCAGTTCCACTCCATATTTCGCCCAATCAAATGGACAGGCTGAGGCTTCTAATAAACTAATTCTCAATATCCTTGAAAAGATGATTGAGAATCATCCAAGGGAGTGGCATCACTTACTTTCTGAGGCTCTTTGGGCTTATAGGAATTCAAAAAGATCAAGTACTGGCATCACACCATATATGCTCACATATGGACATGATGCAGTTCTTCCAATGGAAATGACCATAAGATCTACAAGAGTGGCTTTCCAAAACAAGCTTACTCTGGCAGATTACAACCATGCCATGTTGGTGGAATTGGAAGACCTTGATGAAGTCTGTTTTAATGCCTTGGACCATATTATTGCTCAAAAGAAAAAAGTCATGCTGACATACAACAAGAAGGTTAAGGCAAAAACCTTTATTGAAGGAGACCTGGTATGGCAAGTCAGATTTCCACCGGGAGTCAAAGATAAGGAATATGGAAAGTGGACCCCAAATTGGAAGGGTCCTTACTTGGTGGAACGAGTCCTTGGAAAAGGGGCTTATAGATTAATGGACATAGATGGAGAATCCCACAAGCGTCCTGTAAACGGTGTGTACTTGAAAGAGTATCATCCTTCCATCTATGAAAGCTGGAAATCCACAATCATTCAACCAGCCACGTAGTCTGGCTGGTACTCTCCTTTCCAAGTAAGCTGGAAAGCTGGAAAGGAATCTCAATGGTCATACTTTGGCCATTTATATAGCTAAGTCAGAATGTATGAAGGAAATCACTTAAAGAAGAAAAGCTAAGTACTTGAAAGGGTACATTGGCTAGGGCCTTAGAGAATTTTCAGTTAAACATTTCTAAGAACAGATGATTTTCCAAGTATGGAGTTTCTTTTTTCGTTGAGAAAGAAGCTGCATCTCATGGTCCAAGTTTTACCTATCTTGGAAAATAATTGACATTGTTGTATATACATGTTGTTTCCATGTTAGCAAGTTCTTTTATTTCTTCTGAATTCCTTTGTTTTGGAAAGTCACTTGGTGACAACATCGTTGTTAATATATGGAAAGGGTTTGTTTCCAGTTTTCAATGAATTTCTATGAAAAAGGCACAAAACCAAAAAGAGTTGAGAAATAACCTCCATCCTCATTAGATCCATAATTCCATTACATATTCCAAAATGGATGCTAACTCTAAGAGCTGGCCATACAAAAGATTCTAGGAGGAGTTTACTTATTCACTACATAGTAACCACTTAAAACATCATGAGAAAACCCCATCAAATGGTAAGAAGGACATTTCCAAGTGCCATCCAAATTTTTCTTGCTTTTTCCAGAGTAGCCAGTGCTTTATTTTTTGTCTCTTCAAGTTGAGGAAGTTCGTTTACTAGAATTTCCCATTCTTTCCTATGAGGCTCAGATTCAGTAAGAATAACACTAACAGTTTGATCCAGTTCCAGCTTATCACGTTCCACTTCTTCTAGTTCTTTCTGAATTTTGTTTAACTCTTCAGTCAAGGTGTTTCTCTTGGTTTTAAGTTCCTCAGCTCGTGTCTTGATCTCCAGATAGGGTGCTAAATCAAGATGAAAACTTTCAAAGGCCTTATCCCTAAGTCTAGTTTTTCTTTCATATTCTGAGATAGAGGAAGAAGTGGAGTTTACATGGGAAACGAGAAATTTAAGTTGATGTTGCAGTTTGGTCAAAGCAGTCTGAATGTAATCAGGAAATCCAGGGTGTTTCTTCAGGGTAACTATAGTACCAGCCAAATCTTGATGGAAAGTCATAATTTTTTCCACATCATAAGTAAGGTAGGACAACAATTTTCTTTTGGCTGCGCTAAGACGGTCTTCTGAGGTATCTAAAAGTACAGGTACGTTGGCCGTCGAAGTTGAGGTGCTTGAAGATCGAATGGCTTTGATCACTTTGTATAGATCGGCCAATGCTAGAAGAGCTCCTCTATGCATTGTGAAAGAGGTTGATGTGGACAAAGATGGAGTAGCCTGATGGAAAGAAAGGTCTTGCTTATTACATAAGAAATAAGAAATGAGGCGAAGTTTAAAAGTGTAAAGACTTACCTCTGGGATGGAAGGAGGAGGGCCGGTAGACGTTCCACCAGTGCCAGAAGGAATAGATGTTCCAATAGTGGGAGTTGGAATGGGCAGAGATTTTCCACTTTTGTCTGCCAAACTTTCCACAATAGAGGCTTGAAGGTCCAAGTCTTCTCCATGAGCAACTTTCATATCTGACTAGATCTTGGAAGAACCCTACAAGATGAGTATAAAAGGAATTATGGATATTTTAGAAATTTAAAATGATGAAGGAGATAACAAATGAGACTTACCAAAACAATTTCTTTGGTTGGTTTTAACTTTTTTATTTTTGGAGAGTCTTTTGGCTGTTTGAACTCCTTGGCCCTTTACAAGTCAATTTTCCTTTTTGCCTTTCCAGTAACTTTTCTAGTGGGACTACGCTTGGTGATTATTTTGATAGAATGCTGAGTATTGGTTTGCCTTTTGGAAATACCATCGTCATTGGAGGAATCTTCATCTGAGGAAGAAAACTGGGGTTGAAACTCTTTCTTTACAATGACCAGTCCCTACAAAAGGAGATGTTAGGAGAATCTAAAGCTGGAAAAGTTAAGTATGGTTTTGTTGGAAATACCTGAGATATCTTTTCTTTCCCTTTTACCTTATATAAGGCATCTTCTTCTTCCTCTTCTTCAACTTCTTCTTCTTCTTCGTTACTGGAATAGATATGTTCATGACTCACATTACCACTTTCAGCCACACCTTCAACTTTTGTGGGCAAAATAATGTTATTCTCTTCACTTTCTTCTTCATCACTTTCCTTTAGAATTTCTTTTTCTCCATCAGAGGAATTTTAAGTTAAATCCTTAGCATAGGGAAAGGAAACAGAAAAGAAAGAAGGCAAAGCTCATTAAAAGTACATATTACCTGGAGAAAAGGGTTTGAAGGAGGCTAAAATACTGTCACAAACGGCCTTATGATTTTTTATCTGACTGGAAGAAATGTAGGCCGTCCACCAAACGGTAAATTCATTAGAAGATTGAGGCTTGCTAGTATGGCCTTGAAAGTTGAAAGCTGACCTTTTCATTTCATAAGCTTTATCAATCGCAGCAAATTTGACAACATCTGTGATCCTCACTCTTTGGTCAAAGTATCTGTTCTGAGATTTGTATGGTGGTAAGGAAATGAGTTGGGTGAATCCCATTTTCCTAGCTAGTTGAGCCGGATTGTAGAATTCCACGCCACAAAAGCTATTCCTGAGAGTAGGGTTGGCAGTACTGTAATAAAGATCTTGAGCAAGTAGAAAGCTCGCCCAAATATTTTTCCATTCTCTAGAATGCTTTTTTGGTGGAAACCCCTGGAGAAGGGACTAGCCATGAAAGTATGCGACCAAGGAAAATAAAAGGGTCAAAGAATTTATCATCTCCCATTTCACATTGGTTGTAAAAATACTCAAAGTTTTCAGCAAATCTGAAAGAGGAAGGGGCTGCTGTAGCTAAGGGATAACATAAAAGGGTTTTTCTAGTTTGCATGGCAAGATGAGAAGTTCTATCTTGGAAATACACCTTAAGCCACATTGGGAACAACCAGAAAGGGCCTTGAAACCTTAAAATTTTGGAGGTAAGGAGGTCATTCAGACCCCTGTATAGATGAGAGAGTACGAGGGGAGCCAGTGCTAAATCTCCATTCCTGGCTAAAGATATGGCAACTTGAACAAAGTCCTTGGTAACTTACCCGGATGGAACACATAACAAATAGCCAGAAAGCCAACAAATTAGGAAAGCTATGTGCTTGTCCTCTTCGACTGGCCGCTTCCTTTATAGTGTTTGATGAAAGGAAGGTGGGATGAGAAAAATTTCTTGCTACTAGTGCTTTTGGTGGGAAAAGAGAATTGGTTGACACAGAGAGTGGCACTAACATCATCTCTATGAGGTTTGAGGCTAGTAATGCAACAAATATCCCTTAAGGTTGGGGACATCATTCCACAACTCAAATGAAGGGCATTTATGGTTGAAGACCAGAAAAAAAGGGCTGGAAAGAGAAGGTTTGGGTCAAGTGTAATGGAGGCCTTGCTGATCTGGATAATGTTAAAGATTCCTTGTTTTTTCCTTTGTGATGAAATCTTTTCATCTTTGGAAAGACGATTCACCCAGGACGACCAAGAGGAACGATATGGTGGCCAATTCTTTATACTAAAGGAAGGCTTTACTTTTTTCCCTTTCTTTAAAATAGGAGGGAACTCCGAATCAAAAGGGAGAGGAGACGTACTGGAAGGGTAGAGCTCTGCCAACTTGGAGGGAGCCACACCTGCAAAAGCTAATCCAAGCCCGATTGAGGAATCTTCAACGGGAATCAGAGGGTTGAGATGTAGCCTAGCAGGATTCAGGGATTACAGAAGTAATTGGACTTGGTGACTATGGCTTCGAGTTTTGATTTTAGGTCGAATTGAAGGTGCCGGAAGAGAGGAACTAGTGGTTTGTTTGGGTGGTTTTTTAGCTTTCACAGGAGCCATGATTCGTTACTGCCACAAAGTTAAAGTCTTGCTACTTTTAGGGTTTGGTTGGAGGAGAAAAAAGAGGAAAAGAGAAAGGTTTTCTGATGAGGATAAGCGATACACATGCATATATATATATAGAAGTAATGAGAGTTATGTTTTCTGAGGGTTGGTGGTTGGGATTTTCAAAATTCAAAAGAAGGTAATAAAGATTAGGAAACTGGATGTTTTTAGCCATAAATGGGTAGGACTTATATTGGGACACGGAATGTCTTTTGAAAGTTGGCGGCGTATAAGGATTGATATGGAGGAAACCGAGGAACTAGCAGCGTGTTGCATTGAAATTCTTCAACTAATGATTACTTGAATTGTCTTAATCTAATGACGATTTTTAAGGGGGTTTGTTTGGAGATTTCAAAATTTAAAAGGAATGAAGTTTTTGCCATAAAGGGATAGGATCTTTTCAGAATGTGTGGTACTTGTCAAACAAGTGGCAGTATAAATAGACTTTGAAGGAAGCAAGAAAGTCAACTGCATGGAAAGAAGAAGTTGGAATTTTAAGAGGGTTGTGATGGCGGAATTCAAATCCCATGCCTTATCATCAAGTTGTTCCACATGGCATGGAATTTGGGGGGCATATGTTTACTCCATTATTTTTGGCCCATTGGAAAGGCGACATGTGGCGAGTTTCAATAGAACTTACCACGCTGGATCGTAACTCTAATAAGTTATTGTCGGAGTATTAAAGCTATTTAATTTTACGTAGCAGTCAAAGACAAGTGGGTTAGTATAATCCTACCATGTGGGGTTTTCTATTTTAAGAGGAAAGAGGTGAGTCCTATTAGGACTTACCATCTTTAAAGTAAGGGTCCACATATTCTTATTTGGAAAAAGGGATTATTTCAGGGAAAGACTACCATACATGCAACCTCATGCAATTATTCAAGACAAATTCAACCAATTGGTTCTCAACACATGGCGAGCATCATTAAACTTGCCACGGTGGATTAATTCTATTAAAGATGAATTTATTGGAAGTTCCTATTCTTATAGGATACCAATTAAATGAGTACTTTCCATTTAAATTAAAGTTGACCAAGTCACATAAAGTGGACGTGGAGGCAATATTTTCTCCTTATTTTTAGGAGACATCAGCAATTGCCCAAGCCAGGTCAACCTTTGTTGCTATAATTCAGCAGGCCGTGGGCATTCAATTTATTTATATATATATATATATATATATATATATATATATATATTTAACCCACGATGGAGTAATTATCGTGAGTCCATGATGCCTTGAAGTCTAATGAGTTGAGGTTGAGGAGAGGTTGCTAGAATTAGGGAAGTGCACCACAACCACGACACCATGAAGTTCATATGGAGGGCTTAGCCTAAAATCCAGGAAATCGTAGTCTACGAAAGGAAAAGAAGTGGGTTGGATATAATACCACGATGAAACAGTGGCATAAATTAAGGAGTCCATGGCGTCATGAATTTCAAGCCTAGAAAGGAAGATTTGGTTGAAAGAAGTTGCTAGAAAGAAGGAGCCACAATGCCACGAAAGGAAGGATCCAACTGGAACGAAGTTACCCAAAGCTTAAGGAAACATGGGTCTATAAATAGCTTTTATATACATGCCTGATGTATATAGAATTATACGACCCACGATGAAGAAGTTGTTGAAATTGTGAAGAGGGCCACGATGCCATGATTCAGAAAGGAAAGTCTAGACCATAATAAGTTACCTAAAGCTTAGGAGATGTGGGATACTTGGCCAAACAAGAAAGTGTCGATTGAGAGTGGTGGAATTTCTTAAGTAAACTACTACTAACCGAAGCAGTTGTTGAAGAAAGTGGTTTAAATCATGTCTGAAGAAGGAAGAGTCTACGATAGAGGAAGAAGGAGATGGGAAGAAGAAGTTATAACCAATAAAAGAACATGGGGCACTTAGCAGTCTAGAATTTGGCCAAGTGGAAGCTACCAAGGCTGCCACACATCAGTTTACATACATGGAGGGGCTCTATAAATAGAACACTTAGAGCTAGTTTGCAAACCCTGTTCAACACACACAACCAACGGCACTTCAATTTCTTTACATTCATGTAATGCAATTTCAATATATTTAATTCAAGTCTTGCACTTATTATTCCTACTTTCCAGCACTTTACTTTTGTGACGGCCCAATTTTTTTAACCCGGTGCGTCAGTGAGGAAATGAAAGTTGATCTGATAACGGATTCGAAATGTGGAAGCAAAACATGAAACCAAAGTCTTTAGAGATATAAATCATCAGTAAGACACCAATGTGACCTTCCATGAAGCCACGAAGCTCAAAGAGGACGAAAGCGGAAACAAAGGTCAAAACGGCCAAAAACCGTGAACCAAGGGGCAAAATGGTCAACTCACAATTAAAAGGAGAAATTTGACTCTAAACAAGTCAAACAAGGTGAAAATAACCTAATTTATTCATTGCATAATATTCCAAGAGGTTCTAAGAATATTGGACAAGAATCCCACAAAATGCCCTATCCCGGTCGAAGTAAAAACTGACACTACTTCACAAAAACATGAATAACTCCCATTGTGATTTGAATCTAAGAATGGCATTGGTACCATTGGAAATCTGACTCAAAATCCAGGAATTTAGGCTCAAGAATCGCCCCATTTGGATTTAAAATAAAGAAGTTATGGTCATTTGAAGTCAGAACATTAGTGCTAAAACTGAACTGAAGAAGTTGGGTGAAAGGGGTCATTTCGGTCGACCAAAATAACCCATTGGATGACTAAAATGAATAGGCTAAGGGCAAAAATCAAGTTTTTAAGGCTTGGTTGTTTCGGTAGACCGAAGTAACCCCTCGGACGACCGAAATAGGTCTAAACAGTGCAAAAGCCTACTGGAAATGAGTGATTACTGTGCATTAACAACTCCAAAGGCTATCGGTCGACCGAAATGAAGTTTTGGACGACTAAAACAACTCGAAAAGCTAAGAATAAACCTGCTATGAACAAGATTTGATGACGCTTCACCCAAGTTTCAAACCCCAACATGGATATGATCCAAAAACATGATTTTAAGCTATATAAACATGCTAGCAAGTATAATTTACGTATTGAAATGTATTACAATGGCCTACGGCCTTATTACATGACATTTGCTCAAATTCACATACCAAACCTCAAAGTTGGAAAAGAATACGTTTCAAAAGCAAAACTTGGAATCTAAGTGCATACACTTGAACTTTAAAGTTGGTGACCCTTGGCCACAAATCATACATATCATATAGGTTCCAAACAACTAACTTAAGTATACTTTACATACAATGAGACAAAAATAACATATTGAACCTATCTAGGTGCTATAACATCAAAGAGAAACTTGAACATGCTAACACTTGCATGTAAACAAGAATGCTTTGAAAGAAACTTCAAATCTCCAAACCATTAAAGATAAATGCCAATCTCCATATCTTGTAACCTGTACCTGAAATATGCCCCAGTAACGTAGGGGTGAGCAACATAAAGCTACTCGTAGGAAATGAGCATGCATCGACCTACGTTTTACAATTTCATCACCTTAAGGTGAAACATGCCAAAGGGGCTCATGCCACCTAACGTCTATGTCAAAATGAAACTCTGGGAACATCCTAAGCTACCCTAGATCATTTCTAGCACAAATAACATCATTCATGCAATTCCAACAACATAAGA